AGGCTTTCCTTCATCACATTTTGTATGTGCTTTCTTACATTGCAGACATCCATTTCTTGAATAATATGAAGTATTTTGTTTTTTTCTTTTCGAGTCAACAACCATAATGAGTCTGGACTGTTGAAATTTTGTATGGTGTAAAAATTCTCCAGTTACGCTAATTTATGAAATGAGATATCCAACTTTGACAAATAGCTTTTAGAAGAATCTTTCAATCTGGTTACAATACTACTGCGGTTGTTCTTATTTGTCCTATGCTGTATTGTATTATATTAGATAATATTATGCTATTCTATATTTTTATTTTTTTCTTTTTTTTTAATAAAAATTTCTGAGAAACCCTGAAGCAGAAACAATCAATATAAAAGTGTTTTACTTCCCGCCGAAAATGACAAAAATAAAATAAATAAAAACCGAGCTAATCACGAAAAATTGCTAATCCTTCCTCCAAGATAGACAAACAATTTCCTAATAAACAAGTACCTTATTTATGTGTTTAGATCTAATCTTTATATCTCTTTAATTTGAATCAGAAAATAAAAAGCTGATTCGAATATGTCCCAATTTCTTCTTTCAATTTTCCCTTCTTTTCTTCTTTTTTATTTATTTATTATTTATTATTACTATCGTATTATTCCCTCTATAATGAACCCCTAATCAATATATTAATCCTCAAAAACTCCCTCGAATATAAGTTATTTCTTTCTTCCTCTTATACCAAGTCTGTTTTTTTTCCTACAAACGGTAGACTCAAATTTGACCTTCTTAACTTTTCGTCAGATTAATCAATCTAATCTAAAAAAAGCATGAACATCAATAACAAACAAACTTCAACTCCAGTAGCGGCACTTGTAACAGCGACTCCCTACTAACCCTAGCTAATGTTAGCAATAAAGTATATACAGTTATGTGTATTTTTTTTGCTTGACACTATATTATATCTCACTGATCGTAACTAAAAGTATCAGTTTTATTTAATTCTGATTAAAATAGAGACTGAGAGACCTCTTTAAAATCAGATATCGACAATTTGTCTTTTCTTTTCATTTTTGTCTATCTCATTTCAGTTTGTTGGATTTACTCAGAAACAATCGCAAAACATTCAAAACTTCAAGAACCTCAAAGGGAAGAACGAAAAAAATTTCAATCTAAAAAGAAACCATTTCTTTTTTTGCTTTCTTTTTCTATTTTTTCTTTCATTATTTTGGTTTTGGTCAAAAGTCTCAATTCTCTATGTTTCTTTTTCCTCCTTTAAATTCACGCTGGATGCTGGAGAGAATTAAGTGGACTTACACAACTTTACTTCGACTAGTTAGGTTTTTCATTTGATTTTGTTTTGTTTCTGTATTGAGAGTTCTATGAGTTCAAATGCGGTAGATCTTACGGTAAGACATATAAATTGACAGTTCATGTTTTTGATATGCTTGTTCTTGTGCTTTTGTTAACAAATATTGATATTCTCTTAAAGATACACATCAGGACGGATAACCCTAGGCGAGAAACTCTTCCCAGGGTTTTGACTTATAAATTATCTAATTCGCTTTTTTTTTGTTACATTTTCCAACAAAAAATCCACCAAGTACTTCCATATATAGAGAGAGAAGAGAGCATAAAAAGAATTAACATTATTAGTAAGATTTCTTCTCACTATTTACTGATTATAAATCCGATTTCATACCAACGGAGTAGCTACCCGTCCCGTTGTCTTGTCCATATCATGTAGTATTGGCGTATTTTGTCATTTTTTTTCTTTCTTCATACAAGCATCCTTTAGAGGTAGTATTTCATATTTCTCTCCCTCTTCTTTTTCTTTTTCCTTTTATTTTGTTTTTTTTCTCATTTTCTACCGTTTCTCTAAGAAATTAAAGAAAACGATATCCAAACACAAAAACCAAAAAAAAAAAAAGGAAAACAAAAATTAATAAATAAGAAAGCTTTAAGTTGTCCCAAAAGAGAAATTTGAAATATCAGCGGCAAGGAATGCATTCCCGTTGAAGAAAATGTTCCGATATCCAAGGAAGGCATGCATGAACAGAATTTTTTGATTTCTGTGATATCCAGACAACTAACCGACCCGCTTTTTATTTTTATGTGCGTTTATGTCTAAATGGTTTTTTAAACTATTTTTTATTTTTGATCCGCCTCCCTGTCCCCCCCCCCCCCCGCCTCCAAGAATTCATACGTACAAAAAGTAAGCATGTAGCCACAAAATATTGTCTTTTTTGTTTCTTCTCTTTTCTATACGGTCCGAGAGTGTGGATAACTACTCAACGGATCTTTCCCTCATAATCCGATTCCACCAGTGAAAAGCCATCAAAATGGAGAATGAATTATTTTCACATCATCATTCTATTTTTTTTTCCATGAGAAAAAGGAATCATCGTATCTTGATGGCCATTTAACTTTTTGGAAATGAATAAATTTGCAAACTAACAAGCAAAACATACGGCAACAGAAATTTTACTAGACACTTCTTTCTACGCTTTCTAAAATGTCATTACAAAAATTTGTACCATATTAAAATTAAGGTCGCTGATATGTTTTTTTCTTTAGTTTATGGGTAACGATTATGTGCAGGATGCTTTTTTATTTATTGTTGAATTAACAAAATGTAAGAGGCCTTTTATTTCAAATATATCATAAAAAATAATTCCAATAGAGAGAAAAGAATATATTTAAATTCACTAGATTGCTTAATAAAGTAACCGATAGAACTTTCGAGTAAAGAGCTTTCCTAGGAAGTTTTTACTCAACTTACATTGCTCTAAGAAAAAACCTTAAACAAATCTACTTCCCATCTAAATATAGAGTGGTGATGTATTTGTCCTTTCTTCTAATTATTCTTCTTTGATCGATTATTTCTGTTGCCGTTATTCTATGTATATCCTTTTATTCTTCAAAATGGATATTAAATTAATAAATTAAACAAAAATATTATCCAAAATATTAAATTATGTAACGAAGAATATATTCTAAATTTACAATGGTCATGCAAAGACTCTAAAAATTGGAGACCTTTGTGTTAATAACTTCTAAATAATTTCATTAATTTCTTCATAGAATTCAAAGTTCTTAACAGCGAAAAAGAAACCAGTTCCATCAGAAGCAAGAAAGTTAATTCTATGAAATGCGTCAAAACTCAACCTAATCTAAAACAATAACACTAATTCCGTCTTCCCCCTCCCCCATGATTAATTCAAAGAAAAAAAAAGAATAGTAAAAATCAAGTATACTAAATAAAATAAGAAATAAATTGAGAAGAGAAAAAAAAACAAATCTAAATTCTATAAAATTCTATCTAGGGGTTTGTTTGATTTTAAATCAGCAAAGCTCAATAAAAATCGACCAAGCTAAAACGCTAGTAAATATTGAAGGACAGAGCATTTATTATTTTATTTAAATATTTGCCAAGAATCTGTTTGCAGATTGAGGTCCAGCCTATCTTGCGCTATATTTCATTTAAATTCAACTACTTTCTTTGTACTGAAAAATGATCATCAAATTGTGTACTAGTTCTATTCCTCATTGCTGTATTTTGTGCTACGTGGCTGTTCTTAACAACACGGAGTGACTTGGTTCGGGGAAAGGTATTATGTAGGGATCAAAAATTCTATTTCGACTTGAGATAATCGGTAATAGTAAAATTGTGATGGAGTGTTTTAAAAATGCCAGTATGTATCCAGATATATTCGAGAAAATGGGGTGAGAGCTATTCTTACCCCAACCTTTTTCTTTTTTGGGATCAGAGGAAAAACAGGCAACCATATTCTATTTTTGGTTTGGTCTATATTTGTCAATGACACATATTATTGATCAGTTAGCAATTCTGCTCCTCAAAATACAAATAAAAACAGATACATTTCCGGATGTCAATTGAAAGAAACAGAAGTTAAACAAAATTTCCTCCTTATAATATGTCAAAGTTTTTAATCAAGATAATATATCAACAAAATTAAACCCGTGTCTCCATAATTTCTTTATTTCTATTTTTGAGCATTCAGACAAATAGTTCTTTATCCGTAGTTTGAATAGTTAAAATGTCATTAAATATTTCTTCTAGAGAAACTGTTTCTTCTTCCCATCTCAGCACAACGGAAGAAAAGTACTGACCAAATGTATATTTAAAGGAATTGATTATTTTCCATTTATAGAATGACTTATTGAATTTACTATTTTTAATCCTGCTATACCATGAATCGGTTTCTAATACCCAATTATCCATTTGTTGTAGAGTAAGCAATGTTTTTGTAAAATCCAACCTATTAAAAGATTTCAATGCCATTTTACGTAGATAATTAGAATCATTCAAAATTTTTAACAAACTGTTCCAGATTTCTGAAACTGATAAAGAATCGAAATTTTCAATCAATGAATAAAAGTAGTTTTTCAAAATATGCTGTTTAATAAAATTTTCTTCGACTTCATGTAATGGAGTAATTTCACTTATTAAGACTAGATTTTTATTATTGAATAGTAAATAATCTAATTTATACTTTATTAGATAAGATTCAACGGAGTTAAACAAGTATGCGAAACCCATTTCTAAAGAACTAATAGGTCGCATTTGCATAAATTCATAATCGAATGGGAACAATTGAGAATACAGTTGGTAATGGATTTCTGTATTGAAAGTATCGAAGGTCAAATGAAAGTTTTTGTAGTTATGCAGTGTTACTTGTCCCCAAGTGTCCAAGTAGTCTTGATCAATTGCCATTTTTCACTTAATTATTTCTGTATTTTGTATTTTAAAAAATGGATCTTTTGAAATCACTGTATCTATTTGGGAGGGTTGACAAAATAGAAATAAAGACAATATAAAGATGTATGGAGCAGTCTATTTTTAAAATTTATTTCAATTCAATTGGATGTAGTATAACATATTTTATAATAAAATCTAAAATTAAATAAAGAGCAATCATTGTAAAACCTTTAAAATATACTATATGAATAAACCTTTAAAATATATACTATATGTATTCAAAGGTCATCGCGACCGAAACGCCAAAATTGAATTAAGAAATCAATAATTTTGAAATATTCGCGTCTCTATGATGATGAGATGAAATTAGATTAGATTCTAAATTCTTTTAAAAAATCCAAAGCTCAAGTCCGGGTAACAACAAACAGATTTCAAACAATATAAATCACGTGATATGTCATGTGACAAACCAAGATTATTTTGTCAGAACCGGAAGTGAACAAGATAGAAGAATTGGAAAACAAAAAATAAAACGAAGCTGAAGAAATTAAAAAAAAAAGAACAAGAAATAGAAATGTACAAATATACCAAAAGAGTAATAATGTTAAAATTGGTCCATATCTGACATGATCAACAAGCGAGATGCATGACCAAGTACTTTTCATATCTTACATATATTATGTTTCGAAATGTATGCACAGATTCCTCTTTCTGCCCCTCTCTCTGCTTACCCCCCCTCCTTCTCCCATGAGATAGAGACACATCCCTCACAGTTGGTGGAGTCTCGGGGAGTCAAAAAACATACACAATAGCAAAAGTACAAAATTACAAATATACAGAAGCAGAGACTAGGCCAGAGAAGAATTGCCATAGCAGGGTTTCTGCGAGATCTCTGAAAAAGATTAGTTTTCAACACAACCGGTAAAGAGATACGCACATACTCAGATCGCATGACAAACAAATTGCAGAGATTCTGATATTGATTGCGTTAACATAACAATTGGAAAATAACAACAACAACAACAACAACAACAACGAAAACTGCCGTTTGTCCAAATGAAAAGCCATAAAAGAAAAAACAAGAATAATAATTAACAAATCCCCAACAAGAGACGCAGATAATTAATTGGAGATCAATCGCAATACATTTACCCGGGCTTCGCAAGGAATTCCCAACAGTTAATATGTTCACACGTACAGAAACAAATTAAGAGCCGTGTGTAACTTCGGTGCAAAAAGCCTTGACACCTCTACACCACACGCCATCACCTTGGCCATCTCACCGCCGTACTTGTTCAACAATAAAAGAGAGAGTAGAGACAACCAAGAAAAAACGACATGCACTGTATCAAAATCTACGCAACGCATATACATTATCTGCGTTACTAAGCAAGAAAGCAACCAAACAAACGGCACCAGAGCAATTGGATTGGAGAAGAAGGAGAAACAACAACACTAGGAGAAGAGAATAGAACAATTTAAGATGATAAACTCTAAACATAACAAAGCATAACAAAGCATAACAAAGCAAAGCAAAAAAACAATAAAATTAAGGTCACGCATTTACAAATTTCATTCATTAGGTTCATCTTTTGTTTATTTGCTTTAGCAAATAAACAAAAGATGAAAAATAAAACATTAAATGAACAGGATGAAATAAGATAACTTCTCTTGCTGTTACTGGCTACGACTATGGTTATAAATTTTACACAATCAATCATTGTAGCGCGCACTCTAAATTCCGCTGAAGAGGGCGGCGAATTTGGGATAATAGTAGGTGCATTCGAATGTTTTTGTGTCTCTGTGGAAAGATTTATCCCAAATTGAAGAGAAAAAGAAAAAAATATACATAAGCTGACACGCACACGCACAACGCTTTTTCTTCTTTTCTTTTCTTTTCTTTTCTTTTGCAGTTTGCTATAACGGGAAGTATGGTTTATAGTAGTTCGAAATCATTGATGCGTGACCTTTGCTAGGATAAGGAACCAGCTCCTCTCAATTGTTTTTATTTTAATCTGTTAAATACCCATTTTGTATACTTATTCCTTCATCTGTTCGTTACTTTCTTTGTTCATTTCCACCTATTTTGATGTTTGATTTAGATTGTATTATGATTATGAATTTGGTTTCGGTCTCACTTTCTGCGTGCTTCTCTCTTGGAGTTTAATTCGCTTTCGCTTTCGGTTTGCGACCGAAGATAATTTACTACTGTACTTGTGTGTTTTTTTTTTATTTTTTTTTTTTTTTAAAGTGTTCGGCTGTTTTCGATGTCATCGAATTCTCTAGTGTCAGTAATGAAAAATGTATTAATGGTAATACTGAGTAAGCGTAGTTGTAGAATAGAATATAGCAGGAGAGATGAAAGTTTGATATACGTATTTAGCCTTGGCTAATTACTACCTTATACTCTCCATTCATTCATTCACTCACTCATTCGTTCGCCCATTACCCAATTACAAATACAGTAACCATCAATTTTGATAATAACGCATACGACAATGAATATTTCATTATATATAAGTGATGGATTGGACAATTCAATCGAATTAGGTCCTTCAATTGTTTCCTTAGCTTTTACAATTTAAATTGCCTTGTATTTATAGAATTAATAACATCCAAATCAATAGCGCAACACATTAAAGGGAAGTTCTCTACTCTACTCTTTAAATATGTCGGTCTATGAAGTAACAAAGGACTCGAAATTGATAAGAGAAGATATTATCGATTTAGAGAAAAATACAACATCGTCATTGAACTCATTTGAACAAGAGGATGATTCAAATAAAATTAGTGATGGTAAAGAAGATGGCGTCCGTCTTAAAAAAGAGTTGAAAGCTCGTCACATTTCAATGATAGCAATCGGCGGTTCTTTAGGTACTGGTCTTTTAATCGGTACTGGTACAGCTTTAAGAACTGGCGGTCCAGCTTCAATTTTAATCGCTTATTCATTCGTCGGCATTCTAGTATTCTTTGTTATGGCTTGTCTTGGTGAAATGGCTACTTACATTCCATTAGATGGTTTCACAAGTTACGCCACTCGTTACTGTGATCCAGCCTTAGGTTTCGCCGTAGGTTACTGTTATCTGTTTAAATATTTCATCATCACCCCAAATCAATTAACTGCAGGTGCTTTAGTAATTCAGTATTGGATAGATAGAGAAACTGTTAATCCAGGTGTCTGGATTACTATCTTCTTGGTAGTAATTGTCATCATCAACACTGTAGGTGTAAGATATTTCGGTGAATTCGAGTTTTGGTTATCAAGCTTTAAAATCATGGTAATGTTCGGTGTAATTCTATTTTTATTCATTATTATGTTAGGTGGCGGTCCAAATCATGACAGATTGGGTTTCAGATATTGGAAAAATCCAGGTGCTTTTAAACCTTATTCCGAATCTATCACAGGCTCAAAAGGTAAATTCGTTTCATTCGTCGCAGTATTCGTTTATGCTCTGTTTGCTTATTTAGGTATCGAATTAACTGGTATCGTTGCTGCAGAAGCTGAGAATCCAAGAAGAAACATCCCTCGTGCCATCAAATTAACAATGTACCGTATTATATTATTTTACATTGTCACGATCTTTTTATTAGGTATGTGTGTCGCTTACAATGATCCAAGACTATTAGCCGCGGCTCATGCTTCAACTTCCGCTGCTGCCTCTCCTTTTGTAGTCGCTATCCAAAACTCTGGTGTCAGAGCATTACCTCATATTTTCAATGTATGTGTCCTGATATTCGTCTTTAGTGCTTGTAATTCAGATCTATACGTTGGAACAAGAAGTTTATATAGTCTGGCAATTGATGGTAAAGCTCCAAAACTTTTTGCTAAAACAAATAGATGGGGTGTCCCTTATAATGCTTTGTTTGGTTGCTTCTTGTTCTGTTTATTGGCTTATATGAATGTTTCCTCAGGCTCTGCTCAAATTTTCAACTATTTCGTTAACGTTGTCTCTATCTTCGGTATTTTAAGTTGGATCTCAATCTTAATTACTTATATCTTTTTCTACAGGGCATGTATTGCCCAAAACGTCGACAGAAATTCTTTTGCGTACAGAGCCCCATTTCAACCATATGGTGCATACATAACTTTGTTCTTCTGTGTTTTAATTGCATTTATCAAGAACTTCACAGTTTTTATTGGAGAATTTGATTACAAATCTTTCATAACTGGTTACATAGGTTTACCTTTGTATGTTATCTTCTATTTCGGTTACAAGATAATTTACAAAACGAAATTAGTCAAAGCTGAAGAAGCTGATTTATATTCTTTCAAAGAAGCTATTGATCGTGAGGAGGCCGAAGGTAAAATTAAAGAAGCAGAAGCAAAAGAAAGACTAAAAAATTCAAAGAAATCTTTGAAATGGTTCTACGAAAAGTACTTGGGTTATATATTTTAAACCTATTATGAAAACTACATTGCATTTACAACATTAATATTATGAACCAAAACTATTTCAATTCCCTATTTTTATACATTTTGTCGACTTACTTATACCGGTTGTAATTAAACAAGACATTATATGTTAAACAATTTCAAAACCTGATGAAAATTATTTTCGTAGGTTTTATTTAGGCATTTTTAAAAACTTTATAATAATTTTTTAACTTTTTCTGTTGAATTTTTTCTCTTCTATATCCAGTCCAATGTTCACTCAAAAATTTAGACTAAAATCTGCTTGAGAAATTATGTATGTATTAAAATTATGTATGTATTAAAATTATTTATGTATTAAAATCAAAAATCAATAATCATGCTAATTAGTTCACGTTCTTGTCATTATCCGCAAAGCTTCCTTGTTCATCTGAATTTGGAGTGTTCTCTAATTCACTTAATGCAACGACACTCTCTAATTTGTGATTTCTTAAGAACAAGGCAGCCCCTAATAATGTAGAACAAAAACATAAACCAACTATACACAAAATCTTTTGAGTATAACGATATGAAACAACAACTGCTTGTCTTTCTGGAGTGTCCCAGGTATATGTTAAAATAAATGTAAATGGCGAACCATATGCCTCAGCTGCTAATGTTTCGTTTGCAATTCTTTTGGAAATTTGCTTTGGCAACACATTTGTCCAGATAGCACCAGAAACTGCGGCACCAACAGCAGAACCAATATTATACATAGCAAGGTACAATGCAGTAATGACTGCCATCTTTGAATGATATTTCACAGATGCTTGAATAGATGCTTGAGTTGTGTAAGTGAAAAAACCGGCACCAAAACCTAATAGGCATAAAGAACCAACAATACCAGAATGAGAAGAAGAACTACCACGGTAGTGAACCAACAGACCAAATGCAATGAACCAACAACTGACACCAAAAATGATAAATGGTTTAGTTCTTCTGACTTTAATGATCACCAAACCCAACAAAGTACCTGTAATAACGGAAACAAATGAATATAACGATGTGATTCTTGTAGCAGATTTGATCGATTCATTGACACTAACAATTAAAACGGTATACATGTAATCACCTTGCATGTACCAGATGAAATTAATATGGAATGCTATAACCAAAGCAAAAAAGATACCCCTGTCCTTAATCAATGCCCATGGAGTTAGAGGGACTTTAGAAAACTTTATTTCCCATAGTAAGAAAATAGGAAGTGCAACACACCAACCAATTACTTCTGGGACAATAATATGGGCAGTTTTCCATTTATCTTGCAATCCACCGGCTAATGTGAAAGGTACCAAAATACAACCGAATGTTGCACACAGTAATAACAAACCAATGAAATCTAACTTCCATAAGAAAACATCAACAATATATGCAAACCAACCCATGTCTCTGTATGTTCTGAATTCACTTTTCAATCTGTCCTTAGCATTTTTATGTGCCAACCATCTCATGTGTAACAAACAGCATCCCAATGGAATTGCTGATAATGGCACAATGAAGGCCCACATACCAATCCCCCACTTCCAGTGTTGACCGACAGCACCTGACACATTACCAGAAATCCAGGTATTGATAATAAAAGGTAAGGCAGGAACAAAAGATGCGAACAATCTCCAATTCAAATTAGAAAAATCCATTGCTATTAATTCCAAACTTAAAATAACACCTGTATAACCTAGTTGATAAAAACAACTACCGACAGCGAATCTAGTAACATTAGTAGCTTGAGATTCGATAATTGTACCTACGGCATAGAATACTAAACCAATAATTAGAATTGTCATTCTACCAAAAATATCAGATGCTCTGGCATAACAAATTTGACCTGCAGCGGCAATGACAGTAGTGATAGCATTGACTGTCGATAGTAAAGAATGTTGAGAATAAGAAGAAGTGGCTTGAGCCTGATAGGTATAACGAACACTACCATCTAGACCATATGCATATGCTACTAAAAATAATGAAAAGAAAAGCATTACTCTGTAGATCGGACTACTATATTGTTCGGCATATACTTCAATATTATTGACACCTGCATCCTTATGGTATAAATCATAATTTTTAAGATCAGGTTGATTAGAATCGGGTTGATTAGAATCCAATTGGCTAGAATTGAATTGGTTTGAATCTTCAGTTGTTTGTTCTTGTAGAACTGTTTCATTGATCTTTCCGTCAAACTTACTATCTGAACTCGATGTCATCTTTAGTAAATATATATTTCACCTTATTATGTTCTGATACTGTGGCAGAAATTTGCCAAATGAAAAATGTGAATGTTTAAAGGATGAACCATCAACCCTTTTTGAAATCTGACGGAGGAGCAATAAAAAACATGCTAGAACCAACCTATATCCTTGTCTCTGTATCTCAACATCCGCATCCATATATATATATATATATATATATATATTTATGTATATATATTTATTTATTGGACTGTAAAGTTTAAAATCAATAAGTATAAATTAAAGTTCTCCCATAGTCAAATTACACCTTCAAGAATATTGAATAACCCACAGTCCCCTTTTAAAAAAAGTCGGGGTTCAAATTTGCACCTCTCTCTTCCCCCATTATTTCAAGATAAAAAGGCTAATCAAACTGGGGAATCCCATCTCCTCTACTTTCCCCACTACAAGATAGTATCGATGCCCAAAAATACATTGAAAAATATATAAAATCTACGTTGGCTTACCACTCAAAACCGCTTTCACTTATCCATGAAATTGCACCTAACTTCACTTAATATACACTCTTATAGATTTCATTAAAGCTTTAGCTGGTCTTCTATTTTGTCTCGTTAAAATACTCTTGGAACAACTAATACTCTCTGCTTTCTATTACCAAGAGCTCATCACATCATAAGCTAATCTGTTTCGAATTGCAATTGCAAACGTCATCACCTCTTCTCTCTTAAACAAAAGTAGCTCTTCTTTTCTTTTTCTTTTTCAATTTTTTTTATTTTTATTTTTATCCATCAGAAACCGTTGCAGAAAATCGAAGAGAGAAAGAAACGAGTTCTGCTATATCCTATCTGGAATGGGGGTGCAAACTTATTAAGTTTCGAGAATTTTCATTTAAGATAGCCGCTCTCAAATCCTTGTCCAGGTTAATAAAGGGGTTGATCACATGGCTTGACATTATATAAAATAACTGATTCTATACTACTGCTTGTAGGATCATATATACTGTAAAACTTTTCTACTTCTGCATCAATTTTGGTCCTAGAAGTAATAAAGCCAAGCCAACTAAGAAACTTTTTTTTTCTTTTCTCGCTGAGGATAGTCAATATATATAGGATACGAGAAATAGTCGCATATACTCTACTGTTTAAAAATCGGGGGTTTATCCTGAAAAATATGCCACCAGAGGTGGTTTTTAGTAGTATCAAGATGAATAAAATCCTTTTAAAGCTACATGGCTCACAGCGAATTTTAGAAGACAATGTCAATGCAAAATATTGTATTCATTGTATTTAGGCAAATATATAAAATTAGGGCCAAAATAATTTCAGATACAATATAGCATTCTCCGTAACCTCAATTGATTGCGCCAATAATTGTAATTTACTATGTCAATTACCTATCTCTTTATTACGGAATTGTATTTATGTGACTAGAAAATGAAGAAAGATACGGTAGAAATTAAAACTAAGACATTTCAAACAACAATTAACTTTTCAACTTTAGACCATAAAATAATAACCAAAAAAATATTTCAGGAACAAGGTTAATTAGAGTTAATTCTGACAACTGACTAACTTATTTTTAAAAGATAATCTTAATTATGCAAAAAAATGGCAAGTTTAGAATTATATTTAATGTATGATGGAGATAATAGAAACATGACATATATAAAGTACCAATTCAACAAGGTCAATTTATCGAGTAGACTGGCTTAATAATGCTGAAATCTCTTGAGATATATATATACTAATTACTATCTGTTATTTTTAATTCTTGATTTGATAATCAAAATATTCTTGTTACCTTATCAATCGTTTGCTATACCTTTATATGATACAATAAGATTAAGGTAAATTTTGATTAAAAAGAATTATAACAGAGAGGTATGGAAATTAAAGATCATTTTGAGTTATCCTATCCTAAATTGTTTTCCTCTCACTCTAAATATATGAACTCAAAAGCTTGCAACTATTAAAATTACAAAATTTAAATAACAAGTTTTCCTCAACCATAGGGTACGATACCTGTTCAGATTTAGGAATCCTTCTTTTATTGCTTTATTAAGTAATAAAAGAATAACAGAATTAACAAATTGACGAATAACCTATAATATTATTAAATACAATCTTTGATACATGAATAGTTGGATTAAATATATTCCTATCTGTAATACCCCTTAGACGCACAATTAAATTTATTAGTACTATTACTGATCATAAGATCGTTTATTCTTTGTTGAGCTCTATTTGAATTCTTAGGATAGACTATGCCACATTGAAGAAGTTGTGGTTAAGAATACTTACAAACTCCGAGACAGAGATGGGAAGGTAAGAGCAGCAACTAACGACGCCTCGAAACTGAAGCCAACGCATAGTTATTATGGGTCAGCAATCAGAACCGCTACCAAATATAGAAGAGTATATGACGACAAGGAAAGAAAGTATTTCTTAAAGACATTAGAAGATATTGAAGAATAATATCAAAAGAACCTAAGAGAGGTCAAATCTTCGAACCCGCTAATATTTATATCGTTTCGACATAGCTTCATACAAATAGGTTGTACAATCTATGACACCAGATAATACTTGTTATTATCGTTGACATTTATAAAGACCAATAGTAAATACTATTTGAAATTACTTTATATTATTGTTTATTATTTACTTAATTTGTGCATAAGAAAGCGGATACAGAATTCTTTAATAATATATTTACTTATTAACAATACTAGTCTCCACAATATAGACGAATACAATAAAAGCCATACCAGCATTTATTCAAGGTACATTTATTAAATATTTGTAACTTAGGAATTCAAATAGAGCTCAACAAAGAATATAAGTCCTCACTAGACCTGTAGTATTTTATATATATATATATATATGTGTAATCTCGTTGTTTTGCAAAAAAGATATAATACCAGAGGAAAAATAGGTGATTGTGTCCTTTGGATGAAGAAAGTGATAGAAGGAATGAGATAAGATATAGTTCCTAGGGAAAAATAGGTGGAATGAAATTAATCTTGGATTATTTTTCATAGATTTCGATTTTGCAACTACTTTGCTGACTATTAGCATTGTATTCAGATGCTGAACACTACGAATGTTTATCTTGTTTTTGGAGGAAGGTGATCCTGGAAATAAAATGTTGGAAATTGTTGAAGCAAGTTCGAAACTGAGAAGGAGTAATTTTCAGTTTCGAGATTATTATTAATTTGAGTATTCATTATTCAAAGCTATATGTTTGGGAAGCTAATTCTTCTGTACTTTATATAGTTTTATATAAGGATTAGATAAAGGGTAGAAATAGTTTCATTTATCTTGAATACTATCCCTTTATATAGCTTAAGGATAGTATTCAATTATTCTAATTAGATGCTGGTTTGCTGGTTTGGCTTCTAATTCTAACCATATTTCAACAGAAATAGCCATGGATCCAAATATATAATTTCTTCCACTGTGGAGACTCATCTTGTTCGCCTTTGGAGTTCTCATATTAGTTTATTTATATTTACTCTACCGTTTCCTTAATTAATAAGAAATAAAGTGAACCCAGAGGTGGTATTTATACTTTTTATTACCTAGTTAATATGAATTATTGCTATTATGATTTTTACAATATGTTTGAACTTGTTTTCCCTTACTTTTCTAATTATGTCAGTCATACTCCCTTTATCATCAGCCCCAGTTGATAAATTTCCAATAATGTGTAACAAGGCTCAATTACAGAATTCAAGAATTGAACAGAACAACAAATTGTAGTTCTATTAAATTTTGATACATTTGGAAATATATGGGAGTTTCAGTTTTTTACTGTAATAAATAATATTAAAGTTTTATAAATATTTAAATGAGACTGGGAATAACAACGGTTTAAGTGTTTAAGTGTTCAAGTAAACAGTTTTAAAAGTTTACCGACCATTATTCAGATTTCTCTGTTCCGTGTTTCATTTTATATGAAGATCAATTTTTCTCTTGCCATGATTTAAACATTGCTTTGCAAAACATATATAAAGATAAATATTTTTATACTACTATTAATCATTAGAAAGACTTCAATTAATTTTAAATTTTATTTCACATTATTTGTTTAAGTTGCTATTTGTAAAATGTTCTTTAATTCTTTTCTATCAATCAAATACTTATTTTGTGATTCGTGATTGGTTTTGTCAATAACTCTTTTCTTTTTAATTTATACTCACTGAGAGATCTTGTTTGATTGTAACCCTTATAGTTTCCATTATTTGATTTTCTACATCATTACAAAGGTAGGTCTGTTGAAAGTCACCATGCGGATATCTTTTGTTAGCAAAATAAATATCAATTTTTAATAATAAATAGTTAAAATAAGTCTAACAACAACACAAATATCCCTACATATATGGCTATATATTTATCTAATAAGTGAGATATACGTTGGCACCTTGATTTAGAATAGAAAATTTAATTTGATTTTGGAATTAATGACATTACGCATTCTCATAATAAACCAAGAAACAATGTATCAATCACTTCGCAAAAACGTTATAAAAATAGACAAAAAACTGTTCCATTATTAACATCAATAACAATGGAATACGTTATGAAATTTTTTTCTATTCTTTCCGAACACCTAATCAGATGTCAACATACTCTCATAAAACTCTTGTAGTTTCCCAAAGCTTGAAGAGTTGGCCCAAATCTCATAGTAAGTTTTATTTCCACCACTAATTTCCTTCAAAATAAGTTTGGTATCGTCATCATTGATGTAGTCGTCGTCTTGTCCGTTATGGTTAATGAAGATGTTTAACAAAACCGCATCTCCCCAACGTTCTCCCAAAACCGCATATTCATACAACTCAATAGAATCGGCTATAACCCTACCATTGTTTAAACTGTCAAATGCTACATCTAATTCTGCTCCATATGGTGCTGCGTTGAAGTACTTAAAGCAACCAATTGTACCATCATTGACAGTAATATTACCAATAGCAATATTTTCAATAAGTTGCCAGTATTCTACTCCCAGTGCGTATTTTAGGAAAAAGAAACAGATAGTAAAAATTTGTATTAAAGATGTCTTCATTTCTAATGTTTTATCACCGCCATCTCTATCTTAAAATGAGTGAACTAGAAAATAAATAAGATTAACGATGAGCCTTAAAGTCGAAGAAAAATATAACCTAGTTACATTTAACAAATGATTAATATATATATATATATATATATATATATATAGATTTGTTTATAGGAAGATGTAGATTGCAAGAAGAATCTCTATTAACCTGTTTGTTGCCAGAACCTAAAATGAGAATAAACATCACGGAATGCAATACTACTCCTGACACTTCATGCAACCGAATAGTTGTTGCATCAAGAGAAATTTTATATTTTATGGTTGCTATGGTTGTGATTTCTGTAGTATTTTTCTTTTTTTACTATTTCGAAACCCATTAGCTATATATCTCCGCAGACCTATAATTTTGAAGAAATGGCCTTTTCCCAATTTCTTTCCCCCCCAGGAGCTAAGTTATCTTCCCTGATAATTTAAGACATTAATATGAAGAGGGGACTTAAAAACCTGGTGAGATTCTCAACTATCTACTAGTGTATATAGCCTCTCTTCTGAATTGAGTATAGATAAAACTGGCTCTATATGTTCCCCGTACTCGAGTATCAGTTCTAAATTAGCTTCTGTAAATGCTGATGTCAGGATGACTACTAAGACATATGCTGCTTCTCAGACATCAAGAACGAAATCCTTATCAAATCCGTATTACACATATACATCTGATACTACATCATCTGTTCATACTCATGTCTCTTCACTCATCGTGGATTCTAGTTCTGATATATCTGAAATAAATAACCACATTTCACAAGTTCAAGAAACTACAAAAGATCAAAAAACTGAAGGCTGTGATTCATATTATTCTTCTAGGACTCAACCTCAGTGTATTGGTAATGACTGTAACACGGAGTCATCTGGAGGCCTTTTGTACACAACTGGAAAATATGATTCTTCCTTAGGCGATATGTCTTCTGAAACAACACCAATCTTTGAAGCAATCGAAAGCTCGACTTTTACTATCCCAACAGATTTCACTGATTCAAAAATAATTCCAACATCTACTGTTCTATCTAATACAGATTATATTTCTACAATAATCACAAGCACGACTTCGGCTCACATTTCTGTTACACCTTCGACTGAATCTTATTCTTCAACTCAATCGTTAAAAAGTTCTGATTCATTAGGAGCGAATGTTAATGGGAAATCCAGTCTTTCGACTAGGGATTTATCTACAGTTATTCCAACGCAGTTAAGTTCGGAAACTAGTAGAAATCCCTTATTAAAGGAGTCAGATAATATTAACTCATTGGTTTCAACAAAATACATTAGTTCTCCGTCTAGTACTACCTCATCTTTGACATCAAATCAATATATATTACCCTCTGAAGAAAGCACGAAAAGTATAGATGACTATTATACTTTTGAAGGCCGTGGTACTTTAACTATGATAAACTTTAGTGTATTTGGTTTAACTTTCATGGCAGTAATAATTATATTGTTTTAGGAATAGAAAGGAACAATGTAGACCCTAGATTTTGTTCGTCGCCATATAATATATAAGTTAGTACTCATTGTGTATTTTATTAAAATAAATTATTTGAAACTGTTTACAAAACTAAATTTCTAGTTAAACCAAGTTTTATTATTAGTTGGTTTTGCTGAAGTATAATAAACGACAACTTTAGTTGAAATTTATCACAATCAAGAGTTTAAGACTAAAAAGTTGTGATGTTCTATTAACATTGAATGCTGACAAATATTACTTAAAAAAAGAATACATTTTTGGTTATTTTATTAGTAGAAATAATTAGCAAGAACCATTTTGTAGATAATGGTGTTGCTGAAAGACGTGTGTTTTTTCCATACGTAATAGTTAGTTTAACATTTGGGTCCTCCAAAGACGAAACCGAAGTACCTTACACCAAACATCGCTCTTATAAATGATATGATGTATAGTAGGTTTATGCATCTATATCAACATAGAATACACCCTTTAGTACTAGCATTTTCTTTTCCATACTCTCTGTATCTCCGTGTACCTGCAGTTTCCCTTATCATTAACATCTATTTCATTCCCCATGCCCGTGGTACCAACCCAGTGTATTATGGCCCACCACATAAAGACAGTGAATGCTTTCCTTTATTTATTAAACATGACATATATATATGATACTGTTGATACGTATAATCCAACGAATATACCTTCCATCACCATCAAACATTCAAGAATAGAAGCAGGCAACTAAAAAACGTGACACCAATACCCATACTAATTCCCAGAAACCTAATTGTAAAATTCAAATATCTCGAAACAAGCAACCAGCAGCTGTGACACCCAACAATATTTCCTAAATCAATATCCAATACAACAAGAAACTCACACAGAATGGACTACCATTAACATATCTATTCAATAAACTAAATATTCACCACTCACGCCGTATCAATCCAGGTAAAACAGCTATCACCCAGTTCAGCCGCCAGCACTCTGTCGCAACTCACGTCACAGTCAAAAGAAAAAAGAATTGATCTACACTTGGCTCCACCACACATCCACCCTCTGGCGCTTGGGGTCTATTGTGTAACGCAGGTGCTGACACCAGGTTCTAGCAAATGATGTGAAAGGATGGAGGCGGTAGCATTCATTGGGCTTATAACGACATATTATTAATGTGGTATTTGATGAATTTGTTGTTTGGGCGGTCTCGTGAATTTTTTAGGGTTGGGTTGTTGTAATATGGTTGACGTTAGCAGCTCGGTGACCATACTCAGCCCAGGTATTATCAATAACAGAGCTATGATTTAATTAGAATAATTAGATGAAGACTGTAAGATATATAAGGGGATAATTTTCTCTTTTAATAAAACTATCCATGCCCTTAATCTAATCCATATATATTAATGTATAATACAAATAAATATTATCTTCCAAATAAATATTATCTTCCAAATAATTTAATTTATGATAGCGGATCAACAAATGATCTTAAAATATTACTATACGTACCACAGCAAGAGGCTTGATCCCAAGGTTTTAGTGTCTAAGAGAGGCAGGTCCTCAAATTTGCAGGTGCTTTTCTCAATTTCTCTTAGATGATTTTCGATCAATTCAAGAATATTAAGTTTTGTAAACCAATTGTTAATTTCGTTTTTTAAAATCTTCAGGTCAACAATATAATTAAACAAAAGACCACAGAGATCTTTATATATTTAATACTACCGTATAGTTATTATAATAGTTAATTAACCTCATAGAGCTTATAACTAATAACCTTAAGTATTGACTTCTACGGCTTGTTTCCCTAGATAAATACTTAATACATTAATATTTAATATTCCCGACCAAACAATACAACCTCCTACACCATTGTATCTCCCACTCATTTTCAAACCAACCAAGTGGGTATTTACTGAAATCACAATCCCTTCTAAACTCCCATAACTATATGTGTAAAAGGATCATTAGGCACTAGGGTATATCGATGAAATTCAAGATTCTATTTTCTCCTACAGTAATCACAGATAATTATCTTGATGATGCAGTAGAAAAATATTTTTAATTAGTGATTATTGTCGTACTCATAAAAGCTATCAATATAACAACTAACAACAAAATGTATTATATTTATTTATTCCAAGCCTTCTATGAATCTTTAAGAAGGCTCATCTGGAACCAGTCCCAATGCTATCATACTGATTTAAGAATTACAGACAATACTACTATTGATATCGAAGGTCATTGAGTGAATGTAATCTCTCTCTATCAACTTTAGGAAGATCTTACTTTAACTTATTAAAAAAAGTTTGATAGATACTAGGAAAATATTATCCATAATTACCTGAAATAAGAAGTGTAGACAAGTTCATCTTTAATAACAATGTCAGAAATAGATATGAAGATAGGAAGAACGTAAAAAATTCTGTTCTAGATGCATTAATTTGGAACTCAGAAAGTAAGTACCACCAGAGATGGAATAATTTTCTATATACAATGACAAAAAAATATCGAAGTTTGTTACAATATGGTTAGCGTCAGAAGCACTGCAATGTTGGAATAAGAGCATAATCATCATAATCAGAATCTAATAAGCATAATTAGTCGAAGACCCTAGGTAATATAGTTCTATATAATACAAATATGTATTATCTTCCCAATAATATAGTTTATAATGACGGATCACCAAATGAATGACAACCTCGAAACTTTTAACAGCTCCTTCTAAGTTTTGAACCTGCCTCAGTAAACATTGTTATCATCTAAAATAGCAGTATTACCTCAAGATTCAGATAAATATGTTGTCATCGAAACAGTAATAGAGGGAGAAATAACCCTTAAGTTGTCAAAGGGGTGGCAAGATACTTGAATCCATGTTATTCCCTTCAAGATAGAATATTTTGAGAGATATTATATGATCATTAGTAATAATTGTACAATTTGTATAGAATGGGCTATTTCTGTGTCTTGTTTTTTTAAAAGGACTTTCGAGGTATGAAGAAAACAAGGAGATAAAATTTTATATCCTCTTCTCGTTATAATCTTCCTGTAATAATCTTCTTGTTATAATCTTCTACACAATTTTCATTGGGAAATAGTTATAAAGAATAATCTTCATTAGGAACGAAGTATATAACAAATATATTAATTGATGTAATGCCAATGAATTTAAATTCCACAGTACTCCAAGGAAACCTATTTTGAAAAGGCTATGTACTAGACATATTGAACTTATAAATATTATATTATTTATTTTTATTTTTTTATATTGAAGTTTAATAAATACAAAGAAGAAACAATAATTCAATAAATAACATATGGTGATCAGGGTCACTTTCCATAATTGAAATTTGAAGCCGAGAGTCCAAAAGGTATATCCTACCTAATATTTTATGGAAGGTATATTAACTCTTCTAGGTGATGAAATGTCAACATGTGCTGCAACATTGTCCAACAAGCTTAATCTAACAGTTACTCAACCAAACATGGTGAATATAGAAAATAATATATATTCATCTGTTTATTGACAATAGAAATTAAAAGAATTATGTAATAGATTTATATCATGATGATGAATAACAAGAATATTCAGCTTATAACAAGGGTATACCCTATTGAAGTTAGCTCAAGAAACATTTGCTTGTCGGAACATATAACATTAGTTGGTAAAGAATTTTGTGACCATTTAAAAATGTTCACGTGGTTAACCATGATCTTGTAAGGGGGTAGAGAAACTTTTTCCACGAGCTATTACCAACACTTCTCTGTCATTCATCTAAACGTTAAGAAAAGACATGGACAACCCTATACAGCCCTATCCTCTCACAGTTACTGCAGTTCTTTTATAGGATGGTGTGGTCTAGATTTATTCCGTTATAGCAATTAGGACTTAGTAATATAATTATTATAATATCTTATTAATATAATTGCTATGAGAACTCATATATATATATACTAATTACTTGAATTCAATAGAATTTTAACTCACTAATGTTAATTTTGCTATAATGTATTATACATTTACCAGGATGGTCTATAAATAATGAACAATATCCTTAGTAATTAAATGGACATGAATCAAATAATCATAGTTACCTGAACGACTCAGACCTCATCACCCAAACATTCCTTAGGGTTTCTTCGCAGAGATTGTCTTTCATTCTCCAGATCTCGGAATACGCTGATAGTTTCCGTTCCTTCGGCTAGATGTTTCCATTTCTTTCGAAATCGACCTTCTCTACGGGGAATGACATTGTAAGAATGCTGAAATAAATAAGAGGATGGAATTTAGATTATTACTAATGTTTATCAGTTACAATTTGTATATAAACTATGTTAATTTGATAGTATAAGTCAATATCCTATTTTCGAAAAGGTACTTTATATAAAAAAATAAAACAATAAAGGGAAATTAAAACAATATTCATCAACATAGTATTACATAATTATATTTCAAAAGCATGGTTCATCAAGGATATCAAACCAGTCCATTTAAGTGATACCGAACTTTTTCAATCAATGAACATTGATAAGTCAACAGTACTATATCAAGCTGTCATGCCTCCTTTGACAAGAATGAAAGCAGAACCTGATACCAAAAGTCGTAACAAAGAATGGGCGTACGAATATTACGATCAGAGATTGCAAAGGCCAGGTTCCCTGATTATTACTGAGGCTGTTTTGATATCTCCTGAAGCTGGCGGTTATGGATCTCCAGGTCTTTACACTGGTGACAAATTATGCGAGTGGAAAAAAATATTTTCTGTTATTCACAAGAACAACTCCTTTGTCTCTGTCCAATTGTACACTCTTGGCAAACAAGATTTTCCAAAATCCCTGGCAAGTGAAGGTTACAAATATGTTTCTGCTTCAGACAATATCTATATGAATGATGAAGTCAAGTTAGAAGCGTTGAAAGCAAGTAATCATCAACGTAGTTTAACTAAAGATAAGATCAAATTTTACTTAAAGAAATTTGAAATTGGTGCTAAGAATATCATAGCAACAAATGCTGGTGGTATGGAAATTCACAGTGCATTTGGCTACCTATTGAACCAATTCTTAGACCAAAAATCATACCAGAGAAGCGATGAATATGGAGGCTCAATATAAAACATAGTCAGATTTTTGTTCGAAGTTGTTGACACTCTGATCAAAGTTGTAGGTTCCGATAGAATTGGTATTAGAATATCTCCTTACGGTACTTTTGGTGAGATGTCCGGTACAGATTTAGATATCGTTGCTCAGTATGCTTATTTATTAGGTGAAATTGAAAAGTGAGCCAGGGAAGAAAATAGATTGGCTTACATCCATATAAGCAAACCAAGTGTAGACAATTCTTTTTTTCCTGAAGGTGGGGGTACTAATTTAATTGTCACTAATGAATTTTTGTATTACATCTGGAAAGGTCCTGTTAGTGCAGGTAATTTGGCCTTGCATCTTGATGTAGTTAGAGACCTTGTTAAGGATAGGGGAACTCTAGTCGCTTACGGAAGATTCTGAATTCCCAATCCAGATTTAGTCATTCGTATCGAGAAAAGTTCGCCTTTGAACATGTATGATAGAGATTCATTCTAGTCATTCACAAGAGAAGAGTATTTAGACTATCCAACCTACGAAGAAGCAATTAAGCAAGTTGTCTAAGAAGGTGAATTTTGCTTTTTAATCAATAATTGACTTTTTTTTGTAATATTTTTGATTTTCTCTATTAGGTTTTTACATTTTCAGCATTCCTCTTACAGATTAAATCTAATTAAACTTCAAATTTTGGAATGCTCGGTATATTAAACATTAATAGAATTTATTTTTCTGTTGTTACTATTTTGTTAGGATTATTATACAACATATCTAATTTTAACTTTACCATTAGGATATCTCAAAAACGTACAAGCTAAGCTACGTCTCCCGAACAAACCCTTTATGAAAAAGAGAATATTTATTCTTATTGAAGATTCTTTTATTCTTCCCCATAAAATAAGAGGCTTCAAGTTACTTTTCTTTAATACATGAGTTTCAAAGAACCATCGGCGGGTTTTTCCAAATGTTGATGGTAATAGTAGAAAGAATTTACTTATCTTATATCCAATCCAACCATCTCTGTGAACTCTACAGTAGGATAGTTATTAATTCGAAATGCATCACTTACCCAGATAATTGAATTACCATAATACGTTTTTTTGAACTGATTCAGCTTTCATAGATCAGCGACATTTTCCACGTTGGTTTAGCTTTCATTGAGAGGGTGACTAAATGAGTAATTCAATTTGAGATATACAAAAATGAAACTAATTTATTCATACAAAAATGTCAGATTTGCGATAGAAGTTCTAAGATAAAGTTCTATATTAAATTTATTATTGCTTGTCTATATGCATGTATATATATAATTTTAAAATTTCGATAATAATATAAAGTGTGCCTTAAATGTTGGAATATGGTTAGCATTAGAAGCATGAGACACCATAGTTGTGCGAGCTACCATAGTTGTGCGAGCTACCACAGTTATGCGAGCCATCACAGTTAGCTCAGACACCACAGTTATCATCTAATTAGGAAATTAGACAAAATCCTAAGTTATATAAAGGGATAGGTTTCTATCTTAATGAGACTATTCCTGGTCTTTATCTAATCTTTGTATAATACTATATAATATAATCAAGGATTAGCTTCCCAAAGATATAGTCTAACAATGGATCAACAAATAAACAATAATAGCTTTGAAATTGCCAACAGCACTTTCTCAGTTTGGAATCTGGGTCAACATTAAAAAATTAGATTAATAAAAAAGTTAAAGATAACTTTAATGAGCAAGTGATCCGCTATGATATTCTTCTTTAGTTACTGAAATTGGATTTACCACGCAAATGGGCCCCATATTTGTATATTAAAAATGGAATCAAAGAAACACCGATAGATAAAAATCCCAATATTGAGGATCCCCAACCAATTGGATATTTCTCACTCCCTAAATTATTATACATAGTTTGCCCAAATAATGGGAATCCAGCAGCAAATAATGCACGAAATAAACCATTCCCAGCAAAAACAGACGCTACATGCCTAGGATAACTCAAGGCCAAATATGAAAATGTGATTTGATAAATGTTAAATGTATTGATGTCAAATAATATTTCAGCTACCATTGGTAATATCCAATGAATCCCAGCGGTCCATCCAAAGAAAAACATAGATAATGGCAAAGTCCAACTGACAAACATTGCTAAAACCATCAGATCTTCTGGAACAAAGGTGTTGTTTTTAAATTTCGGTTTAATATATTTCTTTTCAAACAGCAAATATATTGCATACGATAGGACATCACCTACTTGAAACCCCATAAAAGACAAACCTAATTCTACTGGTGTAAAATTGTAGATACCTACAAACACAATTGGAAAAGCCTCAAAAAATAAATAAAATATTCCATAACACAGCGCTGTATATATATCGAAAGCCAAAATAATCGGTTCCCTTATAATTAGCTTAAATGGTTTTTTAATAGCATACGATATAAAAGATTTGAAATCCATGACTGATTCATTTTTTTCTGCCAATGCATAATATCTATTGTCACCAGTTTCCTTTCTTAACCTTCTGGCGCGACGTACCAAAATATTATCATGATGAGTTTCTGGAAAGAAAAATATCATCAAGATAAAGATTGCAGTACACATCCATAGCAATAGCCAAAAAATCCATCTCCATCCCTTAGCCTCGAGCATAGCCGCCCCCAATAATGGCGCCAATACTGGAGATGCAAAAGATCCAGCAGCCCATATAACTAGAAGGGTTGAAACGTTTTCTACAGAAATCATATCTGAAATAGTTGCGCCACCTGTCGCTAGGGATGGTGAACAAAATATTCCACTTAAGAAACGGATAACAACCATTCCACCCAAGTTATCAACTGTTGCTGTACCTATCTGAAGCATACAGAAACAAAAGAGTGTTATAATATAAATATTTTGACGGCCTAGTGTTGCAAATTCTGATAAAGGTGAAAAGAAAATTGGTCCTATGCCATAGCCTATTACATATACCGATAAGTTTAATGTTGCAGCAACATGGCCAATCTTAAATTCTTCTTGAATTGCATCTTGACCAGGTGTATATATCGAAGAGCCCATGTATGTAAACATAGTCAATAAAGTAATTTGGATCATCATGATGGCCTTTTTGGGTACTGACCAATTTAACGGCATATCTGGGTCATCGGGGCCATCCCAGTTTACTAAATATGGATCATGAGGATCTGCTTCTTCATCAGTCGAGTTCCTAATATTATCGAGGCATATTAAGGTAAATTGAGTGTGAGAATTAATTTCTACAGTTTTGTTGTCCTCTTTAAGTGTTTCACTGTAATTATCGGATGAAGTATGTTTAAAGTGTAATGTCTCTCGTATTCTTATTATATTCCAA